ATGTGGAGGATAATTGTTCTTGAAGCCTGTAGGTTGTGCCAACACTATGATTAGGCATTTGGCTTCTTGTTAAACCCTTGTAGTTCTACCTTTTTCTTGTCCTAGAATCAGGATAGAACTCTTGAGTAGATACCTTTTTGGCTTGGTCGAACCACAGGCAAGGGGGACCTATTAAACCAATGTGAGTAGAGTGACTTTTGGCTAGGTTACTTTGTACGAATGGTTCGGATCCATGTCAAGGAGTCATAAAGAGGAGTACGGCAGATGGAAGGGCACAAACTAAATGTATTGGTTGTTGCATATGCATTTATATATTTTTAACTTAAGGTATTTATGTATGGCATTAGTTCACCTACTTACTATCCTGTTTGTATATGTTGTAAAGTGGGCCATAGTTACTAGGACTTTATGTCTCACCCTGTTAGTCTCACTGTTTCAGCAAAGCTTTTCAATATTGTCCATTGTGAAAGGAAGCAGCCAGAGACATAAGAGGGCACAGCCTAGTAGGCCTCTTATGGCTTGGGTCTGTAATGACTGTATAATTTGCCATGCTAGGACTTATGTTTTGTACCTACATAACTAACTGTCTCCTTCATACTTTTGAATTACTGTATTTTGAAGAATATTTACTTAACGGTCCGAGGCCATAGGATTCTTCACGTATGAACCTTGTGGGTTGTAAAAAGGAGCTTGAAACAAATCTTATTTAAATTAATAATCTTAACAATGTAAGAAAGGAAAGGGGAGTCAATTTCATTCATCAGTAATATCAATAGAGTTTGCGTGATATCTAATTCAATTGGAATAAAGGCAATAGAATTTAGGGAAAATTAATCTTTCAATCCTTATAGTTTTCTCCAATTTTGAAGCAAGTCTCTAAATTATTTTTTCTTTTTATTAGATCCTTCAAGTTTTTTGTTGTTAGATTTACTGGTCCTTCCATTAAGAAGTCCATTAAAGAGACCATCACAACACCATCTTTGTAGCACTATTTGATCTTAACATCAACCTCCAATAGCCCCTCACTTCCTCATTCTCTTTCCCAAAACGTCTTTAGTCATTCTCCTCCCCACAATCTAGACCCTACCGACCCCTAGCCTCTTCATCCATCTTCCTTTTCAGACTCTCTTATTGAAAACCAAAAACCTAGCGTATCTCTTCATCCATCCTCTTTCTAGACTCTCTCACCAAAAAGCAGAAACCTAACACCATAGACGCTCCTTCCAACGAACCTTGAAAACAAATGGTGCTTTGAGAGGTCTCACAAACCCAAAACAAAAAAAAAGGCAATTGAAATAAAATGTGAATGCCCTTTAGTATTGTGAGCAATGTGTGTTCTTTTTTTTACCCAGGCTAATAGAATGGACCCCATCATAAAAAATTTGAGTGTAGCGCAAGTATAAATTTCTGGAGAGGAAGGGAACCCATGTGTTGGTGATACAACAGAATTATACATATGCTCCTGACAAGTCATATAACAAAACTCCAGCCATTGATTTAGCCGTCCCACGATTACTCATAGATTACATAAGCTTCTGATTACTGTTATCAAACATGTATTATAAAAAAGAATTAGTATATTGGTTGTTAGATTTCTACTACAAGTTGACTTATAATACAAGAAAAACTACTCGCCTTAAAAAGAATTTGTATATTGGTTGTTAGATTTCTACTACAAGTTGACTTATAATACAAGAAAACTACTCGCCTTAAAGTGGTGTGTACTTCAATGGTTTACAGGTGAGTATAAGGATGATATCACTGGACTTCTCTCTATCATAACAAAAAAAAAAAATTCACACATACGTGTTGAAGAAACTTGGGATTCTTGATGCACCTAGACTCCCCAAAAGAAGAAAATACTGGTGTTGCCATCAAGGTATGAAACAGGGGAAGCGAGGAAGTAAAAGGTGGGTATAGGGATCGACTTTGGGATTAAATGTGCTCTGAAGATGACATTATAATGTCTTTTTAATAGACTTCTTAACAGAAGGACCAATAAATCTAACAAGAAAAACTTAAAGGATATAATAAAAAGAAAAAATAATTCAAGGACCTGATTCAAAATTGAAGAAAACTATAAGCATTGGGAGACTAATTTTCCCTAGAATTTATGTAACATCTAATTTAATTGGAATAGAGGCAAGTGAGCTAGAATAGTTCTTTGTTAGTGGCAGCTTCACCCAAGAAGGGGGTAAATTAGGTGAGTTATAAAAATTTTGACATAATGGAACAATGATGTAAATAAAACAGATAAGGTTGAGTTAGAAGGATTTCAATGCAGAGTGAAGACACAATATTTATATTGGTTCGGTCTTAACCACTTGACCTACATCCAGTCCTCAGAACACCTCAGAGATTTCCACTATGATCCCAAGATTAAAGGGGCTCTTAGCGCCTCAGTATAGTAATTGATTTTCTCAATCACTCCCCCTTACTACCCGTAAGGTTACAATCCCTCTCAAGAGGCCATACTCTTGAGTTACTCTTAGAAGATGAGTAAAGAGATATAGCAAACTCTCTTACAGAGTAAATGAATAGTGAACACTAATGCTCGGTGAAAGAAAAATAGAGTATTGAATACAACAGTAAGTATTTCAGCAGATGGTAGCTCGTGTATTCAATACTTCATTTAATGCTCTTCGCACCTTTTATAGTTGGAGACGTTTAATTAACTGTTAGGCTAGAGAGCTTTTAGCCATTGAAAAAATCAATTGCATGTGTTCGACAATTACAACGGCAGTTCATCATTAATTTTTCTGACATGTTAGGTTACAGGCTGCTAAGTAACTGTTGAACTTGCTTTGTAATCTGTAACAATACTCGAAACAAGTGAGTTCTCTTTCAAAAGGAAACTTGTAAAAGTAACTGAACAAATAATGATCATTGATATTCATATACCAATTAGGAAAGCAATGAATCAAACATCAGGTACTTTAAAGATGAACTGAACATACTTGATCGATGTCTTGATCGATAAGTAGTTGATCAATCAAGTTTTCGATTAATTACAGAGAAAACCTTAGTCACATATATGTATATATGTACATTTATCGATAAGCTTATGGATCAACAGATGATCGAGTAAGTGATTGATAAACGATGAGAAATTAATACAGTGACTTCAGAAGAAATTTTTGCAAAAATAAAACTTTTAGATTCATCTGTGCCTTTAAATCCTTTTAATAGAGGATTATGTGTAAAAGGAAGGCTAAGAAAAGCTTAAAGATAAAAGGATAAAAGATTTTGAAATCATCGTGAAAAGCTTGTTATGAAATGAACTGATACAATGACTGAACAAGTGATTGAGAATTGTTTGATTGATCATATTATCGATAAAACTAAGTAAGAGGGAAATGGATTTTCAAGGATGTTGATCGAATACTTTATCGAGTAAATGATCAATTAAAACTTAATCGATTAAGTGATCGATAAAATATCATAGAAGAACATAGTTTAAATAGGTCAGAAAAGGCTTGATCGATCACGTTATGTGAAAACAGAAGTTTCAGAAGTTTGGATGATCGATCAATTGATTGATTAAGGATCCTGACAACATACCTAGATAGAGTAAAAATATCGATAAACCAGTAATTTATTTAAGCAATATCAAAACAGGTTATTGATTAATTATTGATCGATAAAGTGATCGATAAATGATGAATTAACTAGAATACTAAGTGAGTAAGAAGACTTTACCATTTCTCTGTGCTTTCATCGATAACACGTTGATCGATCATATGATTAATAAAAGCTTACCAGAATTGTACAGATTTTTCTGACTGCTGATAGAAAATTTGATTATCAATTAATTGATCGATAATTTTCTGCAAGCTTTTATATAACTCAGTGTTAATGATGATCGATCAAGTGATCGATCAACTCATAAAATTTGAATTATCTATTAGTTTATCAATCAAACCTACTGCCAACTTACTAGCAAACAATGACAATTTATCTGACACAAGATCGATTAATTTTTGATCGAACAAGTGATCGATCAACATGCTAAACCAGAACTTACTTAAATTATTATCATCAAAACCTTAAATCTAACATTCTTCATGCACAGCACTTTAGATGGGCGTGCGTTTTCTACTTTTAAGATATTGAAATAAAAATTCCACTCCCCTCCAAAATTTTATAAATTAATAAGGAGACTAGCATAAAATCTCTCCTCACATCCATTTATTTCAAACCAAAACAATAGTTTATAATTATTTTTTCTTGAATAGGTAAATATTATTTTGTATTTTATTTACTTTTTACATGATTCTCAAGCATAGGCCAATAATGAATGCTTATTAACATATAATTCACAAACTATAAAATATGAATACGCCCTTTATTTATATACACAATACATGGTCAAAAAAATATGTATACGATTTTGAGAGGTACTAACTTCATGGAAAAAAAAGGAGAAAAATTTTAGTTCTTGAATTTCTTCTCAATGATCAATTTGATTTATGTGATTTGTTTATTATCAATTACATCCCCACAATTTCATAATTACATGAAAACAGTCCATATGGTTTGAAAACGATGTAAAGAATCAATTAGTTTCATGATCAACCAAAAAGTTTAAAATAGACCATTTGTTCCTCGGAAAAGAAATGTTTTCATTTTCCCTGCATGTTTTCAAACCATAAAAACAACTTCTACTTTAGCCCTATATATATTGAGTTATAAGGATATGATATATGATAAATAAATTATGAGGACCAAATTAATAGCTGATAAAAAAAAAGGTTGACAGTTTCATTTCCTCCAAAAAGAAAAAGGAGCAGGAGTGGGGGCATTTGGAAGTAGCCATAAACATTTTTAAAAAAATATTTTTATGTAAGTCAGGATAAACAATTTTTTATATACATATTTTATATTTTTTAAAAGTATAAAAACGAATCCAAACTCAAGACCAATTAGGTTATTTTTTGGACTGAAGAAGCCAAATTCGGATTGACCCCATGGGGAAAAACAGGGCCATGTCATTGGAGCCCAAAGTCGGATCCAAGACAGTTCTTTCCTGAATATTCACTCCCATACAGCAGCTACCTTCTCCTCCTGCCACCTCTACTTGGCCCGTTGCCACCGTCAATTTCGCCGGAACGGCGGCCGGAAAGTCATTCGTCGGTGGGTTTTAGCTCCCGAGCTATCTTCTCGCCTGAATCTCAGTGTTTAGAAAGCCCTAATAAAATTTTATAGGGAAAGGTTAAAACCCTTTTAAAACCCTAATTCTCTCTTTGGAACCACAAAAAACTTCAGTCATGTATGGTGGTGGTGAGTATACTATTTTTTTGTTTGTAAAATTCTTATCTAATTATTTCTGGTTCTTATTTCTGAATAATTTTTTCCTTATCGCGCATTGTGGTTTTCTGTTTTGGGGATTCACAGACGAAGTATCGGCAATTGTGATTGACTTGGGCTCCCACACTTGCAAAGCTGGTTATGCTGGCGAAGATGCTCCCAAGGCCGTGTTTCCCTCCGTAAGTATTGATTTCCTTGTTTCTCATTTTCGCTTTTTTCCTTTTTTCTTCTGTTTCTAATGTCTTTTCTGTTTCGCCAAAATGTTAGAGTTTTACTGTGTTTCGAGTGCTTTTAATCTTATTTTACTAATTATTTCTCTGGAGGAGTCTCAGCTGCTTTACTGAGCTCTGACATTCTCTGTTTTGATTAGCTTTTACCTCTTCCCAGAAAATAATGTATATGATTTAAAGTTCATCAGGGGACACAGAAATTCAATGGATATTTTTAAGAGTGATGGTCCGTATAATGTCTTATAGTTTTTTCCACTTGTATTTATTTAGGTTGTTGGAGCAATTGATCAGATGGACATTGATGAACCTGATAATGCTGAAAAGAACTCTGCTTCTTCTGCGGATTCGAAAAACAATACCAGAAATCCTGATTCTGACAAAACCAAAGGAAAGCGCAAATTGTATGTGGGATCACAGTCCTTGGGATACCGCAGAGACCATATGGAGGTAGTCCTTCGTGATCACCTCTTATTTTAGATAGCCTTCTTTAGTTATTTTACAGTGATTCATGCATTTATGTCTTGCCATCAGGTGCTGTCACCGTTGAAAGATGGCATTGTTGCTGACTGGGATATTGTTGATAGCATATGGGATCATGCTTTCAGGTTTTTAATGATTTTCTTGTAATAGTGATGATTCTTCTGTTTAAAATTTGGCGCAACAGCTTCTGTTCTGTGTTTGATGATAAATGATGGGTGCCCCCCTCTCTCCTCATTGTTGTTGCCTGTTAAGTTTCCAGATATAATTTTACCTCCTTTATATCCAAGAATTTCTCAACTAGTGACTGGTCATGATACTTTTAGGGAATGCCTTTTGATTGATCCTAAAGAGCATCCGATGCTACTTGCAGAACCTTCTTCTAACACTCAACAACAGAGAGAAAGGTATTCTAGCCTTGTTTCTTTCCTTTCGATTTGGTTTTATCTGTAGTACAACCAGATTATTTCTTGTTAAGTATTTTCAGTTTGGTTCATCTACGCTTACAGTTTAGTTTGTTCTGTATTTTAATAGGACGGCAGAACTAATGTTTGAGAAGTACAGAGTGCCTGCTTTGTTTTTGGCCAAGAATGCTGTAAGTAAATAGTTCTCCACTTCTCTATACCTCCTTGTTGAAGCGTAACAATGATTGTTATTGAAAATCTATTTCTAGCTTCATATTTGATATGATGGACAATTTTAAGGAATTGATTAATAAGGGTTCATTGTTTAACACCAGGTTCTTACATCTTTTGCATCAGGGCGTGCCACCGCATTAGTCGTTGATGGGTAAGAGATGTCATAGGTCTGACTAGTAGTTTGGATACTGTTCTTTGGAAATATGTTAATTGAAATACCTGATCTGATTGTGGATCTCTGTTCTTGCGTTGTTAGATTTCAAGATACCCTCACACGCACACACACATTCTCCAGCATTTAGTGATGATTTCTCTATTTTTCCCTTGAATGTCTTATTTCTACCTAATGCTACGTGGATGAAAGGTTATATATGTCTAAAGAAAACATGAGAACTCCATTAAGATTCAAAGTGGAATAAATTGGGGAATTGGGTATCTTCCAAGGAACATGCTTGTCATTTTATGTTATTTTCTCTAAGATACTGCAATATAATGCTGGAATCATTGTTGATGAGTAGTTTTTCCTCATTATTTTAATCACTCAGTGGTGGAGGATCAACTACTGTTGCACCTGTCCATGATGGTTATGTTCTTCAAAAGGTATTGCTCATTATCTAAATTACTTCTGAGAAGTTTTGATTTACTGTTCATTTCTTTATATGCACCAATAACCAAGTTTCAAAATTTAGCTTGACCACTGACAGGTTTGATATAAAAATTAATTATTGGAGCGGGTTATAAATATATATGTATATATATATATGTGAACGTTGTTCAAACAATTATAAAAGATGAATCGTAAATGATATTTGTTATGACGCAAGACAACAGTTGAGCAATTATATTTGAGTAAATAACTTGTATATAAGGGTTTCTATTCATTTAGTCTCCATTAATACAATTTTAGCATATAAAACGCATGAATTTTATTGCTATGGTAATAATACTCTGATGATTTGTAAGACTAAGGCAGTCTACATATATGTGAAAGCTCGGATGCAAATTCCACTTCATCAGACACTGTCAATAAGGGAATCTTATTTGTTTGCTAATATTTCTTCGCATGCACTATTCTTGCATCCTGCCTTTCATTCTTCCTTGGGGGCAAATGTTACTATCTCATTGTATCATGTATTAATTTTTACAACAGGCAGTTGCAACTTCTCCTATTGGAGGAGAGTTTCTTACGGATTGCTTGATGAAAAGTTTGGAAAGTAAAGGTATTCTGGTGAGTGGCAAATAATGGATTTTTTTCTACTGTTCCAATGTCCATTTGAAGCAAAGTTGCTATATTTTTTATTTGAACATTGAATTTTTTTTTTTTTTTAACTGTTATCTCAGATAAAACCCCGGTATTCCTTTAAGAGAAAGGAAATCCGGCCTGGAGAGTTTCAGGTATATCAAGATTGCATTTTATTTACTTGTGAATAGCGTAACTTGTTTCTTGTAATATTTTGTTTATCTGTATAAACAAACCATTATGGTTTTCTTTTCCATTCTTTGTCCAAAATTCAAATTTTGGCAGGACAGGATTTCAAAATCTAGTTTCATTGATGCCTTCACGGCAACAGTGCCCAATTTCATAACCCAGAATTTTTTTATTTTGAACTTTTGTATCATTTAGCTCCATAAGTGTAAACACTGAATTTAATATATTGCTGCTACATTACTTTAGGTGAACAATTTGTCTTTTTGCTTACAGACTGTAGATGTTGATTTTCCCAATACAACTGAAAGCTACAAACTTTACTCTCAGGTATGTGGATTACCAAATAATTTGTCTTTAATTTTTTAATGATAGTTGCTGACTCTTTCTTTTCTCTCTGCGAAGAGGGTGATTGCTAGCGATATCAAGGAATGTGTGTGCCGAGCTCCTGATACTCCATATGATGGTTTGTGTGCCTGTTTTCATGTCATGTTTGAATTCTGTTGATTTTTTTGCAGCATATTCATTGATTTCTCTGAGATAAACTGCCTTACATATCATGGCATTGGCTTTAATTTTTATACATTTTACATGTTAGCTAGACTTTTCAAAACATTCGTCCTCGATAACATGATTTTATTTACTTGTTCTTTATTGCTTCGCATTGATAGATCATATTTAATGAGTTTTTGTTGCTCTGTCCCTTATCCAGAAACAAAAGACATTTCATTGCTTTGACAAACATATATTCCTTTTCAGTTAATCCTTCATGGCTATCTTAAATTAGATGGTCATAATTAATCTTGTATTTGACATTCCTTATTCTTCCTTTTCTGTTGCAGAAAGTGCATACTCAAACATTCCAATGACCCCATATGAACTTCCTGATGGCCAGTGAGTCCAAGTTAATTCTTCTCATAGGAATTATGATGACAATTGAATAGCTATGCTGATGTTAGATGTTCCCATTTCTAGTCTCTGCTGTGTGTGTATTTGCAATGATGTCTGTGCTTTATTAGCTACTTTCTGCCTCTAGTTTATGGCTTTTTCCATTTGTTGTTTTGATCGTATTTACTTGTTATACCACAGGACAATTGAAATTGGAGCTGATAGATTCAAGATTCCAGATGTTCTTTTTAATCCATCCCTGGTCCAGGTTTGTAGCTGGCATCTGTACACATGTATATGCATCTGCTAAAGTATTTTTTATATACTCTGGGTGTAGGTAAATGCTATATTTTAAGCAGTTGGTTGAGTTGTCTATTTTCTCTGGATGAATTAGATTTTGGTGAGACCAATAAATGTTGAGATTTTTTTTCTTTTCTCAGTTCTTAGAATTTCATTTTAGCCACACAAATTATGCCCAACGTGTTTGTTGAATCGCAGCCCTTACCTTGAGTTATGGCCTAGTTGTTGAAATCCTTATGTCCTTGTAATTTAAGATGATCTTGCAAATCTATGTCCGCCCAGCTGCCTGAACCTTCTTTACTGCCCAACAATATACCACCCCGACATTGTAACTTCCTGTTGGGATTGACAGGATATGATGCCAACCTTGATGTATGTAGGGTATAAAGAGGCATATAAAATGAAGTCAGAAAGAATAGGAGGCATTTGTTTAATTAAAAACACCCAAAATGCTGTCACGGTCGCCTAGAAAAAGAAATGGAATTATGTTGTCTCCGATGACAAACACCACGGAATACTTTCCTTCAGCGTGCGCAAGTTATTTTTGCTTATCTTGTAATGGAGATTGAAGTTAACAGAATAATTCTGTATGTCTTATATTATTGAATGAGAAGGAATACATCATATATATATAACCGAACAAGGATAACTAAAGATAAGATACTGCTATCTATCCCTATCTGATCTAAGACGGAAAGATAAATGAGTAACTGAAAACTAATTAATAAGTAAAACTAAGTTTATTTGGCTTGGGCCTTGGGCTTTGTCTTTCAACACTCCCCCTCAAGCTGGAGAATAAATGTTGACCATTCCCAGCTTGCTCTTTAGTCCTTCAGATGAATCTCTTGGTAATGGCTTAGTAAATAAATCTGCTACTTGACTTTTGGTTCTGATGTAGGACAATTTGATGGTGCCTTCTTCAATTTTCTCCCTGATGAAGTGTCTATCAATTTCAACATGTTTTGTCCTGTCATGATGCACAGGGTTTCTAGCCATTTCTATAGCTGACTTACTATCACACCATAGTTTCATTGGTGCATTGTGCATGAGTCTCAGTTCTTTTAGAACTCTAATTATCCATATCCCTTCACAGACTCCGAGAGCCAAGGCTCTTAGTTCTGCTTCAGCACTGCTCCTAAAGACCACAGGTTGCTTCTTACTTCGCTAAGTCACTTGGTTGCCCCCCAAGAAAGTAGTGTACCCTGTGGTGGATCTTCTATCCAACCACGATCTTCCATGGTTTGCATCAGTATAAATTTCTATACTTCTAGACCCATCCTTTCCAAAAAACAATCCCTTTCCTGGATTCATTTTTAAGTAGTGCAGAATTCTCTGAACAGCTTCCATATGATGCTCTTGGGGTTTATTCATGAATTGACTTACTACCCCTACAGCATAACTTATATCTGGACGAGTATGAGCTAAGTAGATAAGTTTTCCTACTAGCCTTTGATACCTTCCTGTGTCGACAGGTATACCATCCGCTTTGTATTCTAAGTTACAGTCAGCCTCCATGGGAGTTTCTGCAGGTTTGGCTCCAAGCATCCCAGTCTCTTGCAGTAAATCAAGAGTATACTTCCTCTGGGAGACACTAATTCCTTTTTTAGATCTAGCGATCTCCATCCCGAGAAAATATCTTAGTTGTCCCAGATCCTTCATCTCAAACTCAGTTGCCAAGGATTTCTTCAATCTTCTTATGGCATCCTCGTCATTTCCTATAATTACAATATCATCCACATATACTATAAGGACAGTTATTCGGTTGCCTGCATGCCTTATGAACAAGGTATGATCTGATTGGCCTTGTGAGTATCCCATTTTTTTCATGGTACGAGAAAATCTCCCGAACCAAGCTTGAGGGGATTGTTTCAGCCCATACAACGACTTCTGCAGTTTACAAACCTTTGGAGAACGATTACTGGAATTCTGTAATCCAGCTGGTATCTCCATATATACTTCCTCTTTGAGATCCCCATTTAGAAAAGCGTTTTTTACATCTAGCTGGTAGAGAGGCCACTCTAGATTTGCTGCCACTGATAGGAGGACCTTAATGGTGTTAAGTTTTGCTACTAGGGCAAAGGTTTCCTGATAGTCAATTCCGTAGGACTGTGTATATCCCCGGGCTACAAGCCTGGCCTTATACTTATGCTTCCATCTGGATTGTATTTTATGGTAAATACCCATCTGCAACTCACTGTCTTCTTTCCTGGGGGCAGATCAGTGATTTCCCATGTTCTGTTTTTCTTCAAAGCTTCCAATTTGGGTTTTCGATTGCCTCATGGAATGTCCTTGGTATCCTCTCATTTGAGAGATTTGTAGTAAATGCCTGCATTCTCGGTGATAATTTATCATATGAAACAAATTTACTAATTGGATGCCGAGTACAAGATCTTACACCTTTTCTGAGAGCAATAGGCCAACCGAGATCATCAGGATTTAACATTGAGTCAGAATCCTGGTCATGCCTTGGAATGGGAGGGATTCCAGTTTCTTGTTGCTCGTCTACATCATCTGACTCGGTGTTTTGCTGCTGGTCCACCCCTATGTCATTTTCCGCACTGGTTCCCAGGTTGGTGTGGTTAGGTTGAGAGTTTTGGTGTTGTGGGATTGTTGATTCAAGGTTGTCTATTGGCTCAGGTTCAGGGATGTCGATGTTTAGGTGTGTTGCAGATTCTATTTGCATTGGTTTAGTAGTGGAATCTGGAGTTAGCCATTCGTTAATGTCATAATTCTCCCCCTGAATGGGTATTTTGGGATAATAAGCATCGTCCTCAGAAAAAACAGCATCTTTAGTGACATACACCCTTTTTGTTGTCGGGTAATAGCATCGATATCCTTTTTGAGATGGGGAATAACCAAGAAAGATACATTTTAATGCTCGGGGCTCAAGCTTGTTACCATCATTATGGTGTATGTATACTACATAGCCAAATACTCTCAAGGGAATGTCTGAGACTAAGGGTGAATTGGGGTAGGTTTCAAGCAATTTTTGGATAGGGGTTTTGTAGTTTAGGACTCTTGAGGGCATTCTATTGATTAGGTAGGTTGCAGTGAGAATAGCTTCTCCCCAGAATGAGTTTGGAACATTTCGGGCAATCATAATGGCTCGAGTTATTTCTAGGAGGTGTCGGTTTTTCCTCTCAGCAATCCCATTTTGTTGAGGTGTGTAAGTACATGAGGTTTGATGGTGGATTCCCTATTGATTAAGGAATTCCTTAAAGGCTGTACTAAGGTATTCTCGTCCATTGTCACTTCGTAATATTCTAATTACTCCTTGAAACTGAGTTTTTATAAATGCGTGGAAACTTTTGAAAACTCTAAGAATTTCAGATTTTTCTTTCATCAAGTATACCCAAGTCACTCGAGTGTGGTCATCAATAAAAGTCACAAACCACCTAGCATTAGAGGTTGATTTAATTCTTGTGGGTCCCCAAATGTCACTGTGTATTAGGGCGAATGGTGCTGTTGGTTTATAAGATTGTTTGGGATGGGAAGTTCTTGTTTGTTTGGCAAGTTGACAGGTTTCACACAAAAGTGGAGCTAAATTCTTATTAAATAAGTTTGGAAACAAGTGCTTCATATAATCAAAATTGGGGTGGCCTAGCCTAGAGTGCCACAGTAATACATCTTTATTCAAGGAATCTGAACTAAATAACGCCTTGCTCACATATTTATCCGTGCCTTCAAGATAATAGAGTCCATCCCATTCCTTAGCAACGCCAATCCTCCTCTTCGCTGTCAAATCCTGAAAAACACAACCAACATCGTCAAAGATCACTCTACATTGATGACTCTTAGTTACTTTGCTTACTGAAAGCAAATTACATGCCAATTCTGGAACAAATAAAACATTCTGCAGCTCTAATTTCTCAAGCATTTTGACAGTTCCAACACCACAGACTTTGGAAAATATTCCATTTGCAACTTTAACCTTTAGGTTCTCGTGGTGACAATACTATAAAGTTTGGAATAAAGATTTGTTACCGGTCATATGATCTGTAGCTCCTGAGTCAACGATCCAAGTATTATCATTGGTCATTATGGCATTTAGAGCTATGATAGAATTACCTAACTTTACCAGATTCGCCTTTGGAGTCACGGATGAGTTATTGTGTCTCTCAAGGATCCGTTTGAGTACTTGTAACTCTTCCCGGCTTAAGGTTTCTCCATTCTTCTCCTCATCAACTACTGCAGAATAGCTCTTGCTTTCAGGTCTTCTTCTTTGTTTTAGATTAGCCGGTTTGCCGTGCAGCTTCCAGCATATGTCCCTTGTATGACCATTTTTGTTGCAATGATCACACCAGCCTTTTGAATTCTTCCTTCCTCTTGGTTCAGGTACATTACTGCCTTGCACTGTCAAGGCAGAGTTTTCTGATGGTGTAAATACATTCTGAGTGAGTTGCTTCCTGCTCTCTTCACATTTTACCATGTTGAATGCTTCAAACAACGATGGCAGTGGCTTTAGTCCCATAATTCTTCCTCTTACGTCTTCAAATGCATCTATCAGGCCGAGCAAAAATTCATAGGTCCTTTCTTTCTCAACTATTTTTCTATATAATTGAGCATCACCACTGCAACTCCATTCATGGACATCAAACATGTCCAGCTGCTACCACAAGCGCGTAAGGGCAGTATAATACTGAGTTACAGTCATAGAACCCTGTTTTAGCTCTCTTTGTAGTTTCTTGATATGAAACAGTGCTGCAGTGTTGTCTATGGCAGAATAGGTTCTTCTTGCTGCGTCTCATATCTCTTTTGCTGTCTTAGCAAGTAGGTAGCCTTCACTAATCTCTACGGTCATCGAGTTACACAGCCAATTCATTACAAGGTTGTTCTCAGCAAACCATGTATTATAATTACTATCACCAGGTTTTGGCTGTGGGGCTTCTCCCATAATATATTCTTCCTTTCTTCTTCCTCTTAAATACATGAGAACGCTTTGAGACCATTGTAAGTAATTGCTTCCATTTAGTTTATGGGCAATTATCATTTGTTGTGTCTCACCGGAAGTTACCGACTCGGTTCCCATAGACGAAGAGGAAGCGGATTGTTGTGATGTTATACCTGCCGTAAGTGCTGAGGGTGGCGAGTTTTGATTTCCTCCAGAACGTCTCATTGATCCGAACAAGGGTGGAAATTCCTCGAGTGTCATCGTCGTCTGCTTCTGGGAACAGACTTATGTCCGACTCGTGTCTTCGTAACAGTCTCTTCAAGTCGCAGCTCCTGGGTGCGTCGAGAAACAGTAGTCAGTGTCGGTTCACGTCGCTGAGTTCGCCGAGAACCTCTGGTCGCGAGTCAGTGTCGGTTCACGTCGCTGAGTTCGCCGAGTAGTTCCGATCGCGAGGAGGTTTCAGGTCGCTGACACACGTCCCCGGGTCGCTGACATGTCGTCGAGTTCGCCGAGTACCTCTGGTCGCAGGGCGGCTTCATGCGACTTCTCCAGATCGCGATAAACAAGGCCGAAATCGCACCCGCTCTGATACCATGAAGTTAACGGAATAATTCTGTATGTCTTAAATTATTGAATGAGAAGGAATACATCATATATATAACCGAACAAGGATAACTAAAGATAAGATACTGCTATCTATCCCTATCTGATCTAAGACGGAAAGATAAATGAGTAACTGAAAACTAATTAATAAGTAAAACTAAGTTTATTTGGCTTGGGCCTTGGGCTTTGTCTTTCAACAGAGATTCATTGATTATTGATGCTAATTTCTCTTTTGCTTAGACTTTTCGTGCTAGAATCTTAATATGTATAAATGTTAGTACCCTTATACCATAGTAGCGCACATAGATGTTTTTCATCTTGTGACTTTTTTGGGGTATGCAATTACGCGTGTTTAACTGCATTATGTAACCCATTCAGGCTGCTCAGTTTCTTGTTTCTACTACCCTTGATTTGAAGCTAAAGCTAAATATTGAAGCTACTTCAATATTTTTTTTGGCTGTTTTAAGATGCTCTAATTTAAAAAGAAAAGATTTTCTATGTGGGCTTGGATGAGTGGCAGCACTAATGTGCATTCTTCCATTCCAAAATTAGTTTTGCTGTGTTTTTGTATGATGTTCAATGCATATAATTATCTTCGCAGTCAATGCTTGTTTTTTGGTGTATTAAAAAATATCATAGCCAATGCCACTTTTTCTGTTTGTTATTATGTGCACTAAATATCTTCCCAAACGGCAGACTATTCCTGGCATGGAGAGTTTTGCAGAGATTGCTCCTTCCGTCCGAGGTCTGCCTCAAATGGTAATAAAATATTTAAAGTGTATTTCCTTGGGCTTAATTTTGCTTTTTCTCATGATTTCACTGTCTTGATTTATGTGCAGGTTATAGAGAGTATTAACAGGTGTGATGTGGACATCCGAAGAGAATTATTTAGTAGCATACTGGTGAGATTCTGTAATACCTTATTTGTACACTGGCATGTGTCTGCATCTTTTTGTTGGTCTATGCATAAAAGTAGCTTAGCATGTGAATCTTTGGTGTGTTGTCAATGATGTGTCACAACATGCCTCATGTCATGGGGCATAGTGCCAGAGTTTTGTGCCATGCAACCCTTGTGACTTTGCGAAATTTAAATGGGACATTTGTTGTGCAGCATATACATCCTATACCACGTTATTATTTTGGTAATATGTTGGTACAGGTTTAGTCATTTCTTATTTCTCGATCTTTTTCCGATCCCTATCCTTTCTCATGCATATGGGTGCCATGAGCCCCTACTGCAAGTGTGCTGTGACCATTACCAACTGTGCTTTGGGGCTCTTTCATTTGTTTGGGGTTGGACCCCCTGTCTCTTGGTCTATAATTTGAGATTAAAAATTTTGTTATGCAGCTTGCTGGTGGTACAGCTTCAATGCAACAATTGAAGGAGCGACTTGAGAAAGACTTATTAGAGGTTTTTTTTTTTTTTAGCAGGCTGATTTCAATTTTATACCCTCCTGCTAATTTTCCTCTTAATTATTATTTTTAAAATTTCAGCGGTTGTTTCCACCTGTACAGCTTAGATGTAACAATTAGAAATCTTGTGAAATGTTTTTGAAACAAATAAGCTGTTTTCGTAGGATTACTTCTCTTACAATTGAGCTATTGTGCTGAGAATTGTCTTGCATCATTAGTTTTTCTTTCTCACTAGCTTATCTCTTCAATTGAGAAAAGGCCCCGCCCAGTAGCTGAAGTGCATGCATTTCACTAGAAGAAACCAACCAAGACAAATTGTGTCGAGAAATCTTAGCTAAGCTATGGTTTGTTTGAGTGGTGACTGGATAGGCAGCGCTTTTCTCTTTTCCTAATTAAACTTCCCATTCAGCTCCTTAACCTGGATTGGGTTGTGAAAGTGAAGCATTAATGCTGCAGAGGGATTCTGGTGGCCTGGTATCCACATTTTCTCATCGACCTGTGGATATTTAGAGGCTCATTGATAATGATAATGAGCATGTTAGTTTTCTGGTCTAGTTTATTGTGTTTTGTTGTTGTCAATGGGACAAATCCGAGCAGTCTGCATGCAGGTGTGATAATGCACACGTTAGTGAATGACTCTCATTATATTGCCAACATAAACTAGACACCAATTGTTGAGCCTCTTAACTTTTGATTGCAATGACACTGGACATGATTTATTTATTTATTTAAATCTTAAACAAAGCATTCTTGTAGCCATCTAGTTGGCAAGGATCAGTTTAGAATTCCAATTTAAGCATCATCAATTAAAGATTCCATGATGCTATATTTGCCCAACAAATAATGCCCCTCTTCCAAATTTAGTAAATTCAATGGAGGGCAAGATATTCAAAATGATATCCTGAATTAAACGCTAAGAGTAAACCATGAAAGATCGAGGCCATGGCTGACCCCGTTGTCAAGTTCAGTTGATGAGTGGATGCTCGGGTGTCTAGAAAACGCACGCATCAGTCACCCTTGTATTACCACTCCTAAGTCCCCGCATAGATTTGCATCACACTCTCAACTCCACACAGTTTGGGCACAGCATGCATCTGATTGGAGTGGAATTATAATGCTCTGATGTGTCAACAATTCAATATTAGTCTGACTTGGGAACCTTGGAAAACCATTTTACAGGTATCTATAGTTTTCCTTAATTTTTAATTTGGTACCTGTGTGTTTTTTCCCTCTTAGTTAAGCATTCTAAATTTGCTATGTTAGCACCGTTAGCCTCTATAATTTTGCTGTTAGTACTGTTAGCCCTTGTTAGCCCTTATGCAAAAGTTAACGGTGCTAACAGCAAAGTTATAAAGGCTAATGGTGCTAACAGAGCAAAGTTATGGTGTTTAATTAAGAGAGAAAAATATACAGGTGCCAAATTAAAAATTGAGGGAAACTATAGGTACTTACAAAATGGTTTTCCCTATATAAAATGTCATGGGAACAGACACACATTTTAATAGTTATATATTGATATAAGCAAACTACTATTTTTAATCGGGAAAAGAGAGAGAGAGAACGACCAGAAAAAGTCCAGTTGAATTGGAGAAATTTACTGCCGTACTCATGAATTTGGTTGTAATAAATATATCAGGGCTGTTTGGACTTTTTGTTGCATGTGATGGTATGTTCTTTCACAGTAATTATAGAGATTTGTTTAAATATTAAGAACTGAATAGTATGTTTCTGGTGCAGGAATCCCCTCAAGCTGCTAGAGTAAAAGTTCTGGCCAGTGGAAATGCAACAGAAAGGAGGTTCAGGTGGGATTAATCTCTGCCAATTTTGTTAATTATGCTCTACGTCATTGACAATTCCGTTTCTGTTACACTAACCTTTGATGCTACACCTTATTTTGGGTCCTTTTTTTCCCCCCCTAATGTGCTAATATATATGTTGGCCTAAAAAGATATGTATTAATATATTCATTTATCCACTTTCAGGAATGCTAATGAAAAGGAGCGAGATTAAATGCTTAATGTTGTGATTTATAATGCAACTTTATTGCTCCAAAATGATAAGAGCATACCTGATCTGATTAAAGAAACCGTGAACCGTTGTTTCAGTTTTAAAATTGAAGTCAACGTAATGCCCATTTAAATTTAACTAGTCCTATGTAGTGGCTATGCTTACATGTGGCAAAGCACTGTTTGGTCTCAATCTTGCTGTAAAATCAAGCTTTCTACTTCCTTTCGTTTGTCTCAAAAGAACCTAGTGCTTCAGATGACTCTGAGGAGAAATTAAACTGAAATAACACTGCTTGTGAGGTTGGGCGAAAAAGATTTGATTACATGTAGATTTCTGGGGCTTTTGTTGTATTACCTGGTTGGCAGTTTTCTGGTTTCATGTGTATGAATTAATGAATCTGGAACGTATGATGGTTTGGATAAAATCACATTGATATTGCATCTGTTGAAGGATTAAGCGCTAAATAATACCTTTTTTATAACGAGGTATTTGTTTTTCCTTGTTTGAAATGATCTTTTTTGTGTAATATATTTATTGGCCGCTGCTGCAGTTTGATTTATATCAAATTGTTTAATAACTAGGGGGTTAAACTCATGATTTTATGTATGTATGCCTTTATACATTTCAAAGAGTGTCCTCTTGCTCATGGGTGTGAATTATGCAGTGTTTGGATCGGTGGAAGCATATTGGCTTCTCTGGGCTCCTTCCAGCAAATGTGGTTCTCCAAGTCTGAGTAAGTACTCCCTCCGTTCCTTATTATAAGAGACATTTGATGTTCATGGCATGTTCCTATATATAAGAGATACTTAAAAGTTGTCTCTACTTTTTTGTATTGATTTCCTATTTTATCCCTATTTATTTTGTCTCTAATTCATACTCTCTCTCCCTCTCACTTCTCTTTCTTTTAATAATTTAATTGTTCTCTCTCATACTCTCTCTCTTTATTAATGGGGGTATTGTTGGAAAAAATATTATATTTTTTACACATTAATTGTCCTCAACTAATTTTAACTGTTTTTTTGATCAACGTAATTTAGTTATTTGTCTCTTATAATAAGGAACGGAGGGAGTATCAATTATTTGTCAAAGCTTGTATGATAAATTTAAAATCTTGAAGAATCAGTGGAAGTCTATTTTTCTCGATCCTATTACTCCTCCCTCCAACGCCCAAAACAATGCATACTAGAGAAAGTTAACTTATGTTGGGCTCTTCAAATATACACCAATATTTCTTTTGGTGGATACTTTGCAGATTTTGTGTTCACATTGTGGCTGAGAGTAATTGATATTGTTCTAATTCCATCTATCTCGGGGGCTTCATATGGACTTGATAAAAAAGAAAACTGTGGACAACCTTTATCCCAAAAGCATTTGACCAACCGTCTGGTTTGGCCTTTAAATCTTCCCATCGAGTAATAATTATTTAATAAGCTCGAATACACTTTGGATCCCTTTGTATTGGTTTAATTAATGTGGGTAAGGTTTTCTTAATCTAGCTTTAATGAAATTGATGGTCAGTGCTACATTTTATCCAACTGCAATTGATATTTTCCCTTAGCTTCTGTACTAAATTTATATGTGCAATTCATAGGTATGAAGAACATGGAGCATCTTATATACAAAGAAAATGCCCATGAGTTGCTGAAGACAGGCTTGTTTTGCCATTGGTGATCAAGATGACTTCATGAGCTCGTCTTCCCACCATTATCCCTCTGCCACTAATATCTTCTCTTCTCGATAAACCTTTCATTTGGGTCTTTCACTAACCTAAGCACTCGGCCTTGCCATGCTCGAGAGCCTAGCTGTTTCTGTAATCTATGCTCTGATGTAACTTTACTTTGTAGTCTGTATTTATTAACAATACTGATTTGTCTCGTTTGTAGTAAACTGGCTTCCCCTTTCATACAGTTCAGGCACAGCATTAAATCACCATTTAGATGAGTACTTAATGATGCTATATGCTTAATTCTTTGGTAATTTGTTCTGGTTATATGTGGCAAGAGTCGTATAATACTCATTCAGCCCTTATTTCTTTTGGTTTCTATAGTTTATATTGAGAGAAAATTGCATTAAAAGACCCTTGAAATAGCAAAATAACAGAATAATCATTTGAATAAAGAAAATTACTATCAATCTTAAATATGAATTATGAAATGGAGAAAAGACCAAAGTACCTCTTTCTCTTTCTTCTATCTCATCCTTTCCTTCTCTTTCGTTTTTCTGTGGCTCTGTTAATCTCTTCCTCCTTCTCAATCATCACAATTTTTCTCATAATGATAGTGCAGAAAATGAGGGAGTTGCGGAATGAAGGGAGGGTATACAACAATATTGTTTGCGTCATCTCCATTATTTGCATGCATGTGGTTCCCAGCCCTTTGCACAGCTTTTACGAAGCTTCATATTTTTCTTTCTTAATATAACTAAAACCTGTCCCAAACGTTTGGATAATTGTTTGTTGTTCATGATTAATGTTGAAAAATTAGTTCCCCCTCGACTTGAAATTATCATAATATTTGATAGTTTCATCATAAAATAATAGATTGAAAAATCATTTTGAACTGCGTACCTAACTCTGATGCGTGGGAAAAAAAAAAAAAGGGAGATGGCTATCTACTTTGAAGTACAGGAATTATATATTACTATATAAGCATGAAGAGATAGGTTGAATCAAGTTGACAAGGAAATGGTATCTGGTAAATATGGGTTTTATGCCTATGAGGCTTTGTTGAACGTACCAAATAAAACAAAATGTGAGAAAGGCAAGGAAAGCTGAGCTTAAGAGAGATGAAGCTATTGTAAAAAATGGTTTCTATCAAACACATACTGAACATTATTGTAATTTTTCATTTAAGTGTTGTAACTTTTCATACTAGACTTATTATTAGCAACTAAATTACGAAACTAATGCTAATTTCTGCTAAAGCTTAAGTTAATATTAATAGCTTTTTAATACTTGTTATTTCTCATACTAGACTTCTTAATGGCAATGAAATTGTGAAAACAATATTAATTTCTTGTAAAACTTAAGTTATTATGAATAATCTTTTAACATTTGTTATTTCTTGTACCAGACTTGTCATTAGCTAGTAAATTATAAAAATAATATTAATTTCTGTTAAAACTTAAGTTAATATAAATAATCATTTACATAAGGCAACTTTTGCCCGAGTCACTCCTTGTATGGCGCAAGTTTAGAAATCAAATTTGATTTATTAGGTTCACATCCATTTGATATACAGTGACAAATAATTTCTATTTGCTTCTCAAACAATGCACGCCTCTGCTAATCTTACTCTCTTTGCAATCAATAGAGACTAATAATTTCTATTATAAGGAAAAAAAAAAGAGACTAATAATTTCTTTTGCTGAGGTTAAAGTTAATTCTTGTGCCAATTATTTTCTCCAACGGTAGTAATCAACTTATGGTTTTACTTCCCAGTTATTTTTCGCCTATGAGATCATCAAGGGCAAATGGAGCTATAATAAAACTACAGGTCTATTTGTAGAATTGTAATTTTTTATTTTAAACTTGTAATTTTTTATTTCAAACTTGTTATTTTTTTTTAGTGTAGATTTGTTATTTTTATTGTAGACTTGTAATTCTTTATTTTAGACTTATAATTTCCTATTTCAAACTTGTTATTTCTTATTACAGACTTCTAATTTTCTATTTCAAACTTGTAATTTTTTATAAATTGGGTTAGACATATAGATTATGACCACTGGATTCATGCTTAGGGCAATTTTTGCCAAAAATAATGTGAATTACTGTGCACAATTAGCTACATATCATTTTAGGAACATACATAATTGTCATTAACAATTAGTAAGTGTGCTGAGTAATTATTAGCACGAAGTCAAATATATTAAACCTAAGTTAAATGCACAAACATTATCTACAATTTATCCCTATTTCATTGTCCACTGAATCAATCTCCTTTTTTGGCCTTTCCTCCATTGCCTTGTTGTGAAAGAAGCTTCAAAGCATCATGAAACCATTCACTGAGCTCATGATTGACCAACCATCACATAAGATCACAACAAAAAGTTGACACTTCAATTTGCACAACAAATTCAACACTCAGCTCTGCAAATAACAAATCATAATTATAACTCTTCAAATAACAATTATTCTAAGTACAACATTGAATATAGAAATAATAAATTCACTATTGTAAATAACAAATAACGCATAACAAATCACAACTATGCGAGTAACAATTATTTCAAGTAACAAGATTAAATATGAAAATAACAAGTTCCCTATTGTAAATAAGAAGCAAAGTATAACAAGTTCGGCGCTGGAAATAACAAGTTAAGTTATGAAAACAAATGAACTAATCAAAATAACAAGTTATGCTTTGAAAATAACAAGTTAACTTTTTCATATACCAAGTTAAGTTATAGAAACAACAAGTTAACTATTCAAAATAACAATTTGGGAAATAACATGTTAACTTCTCCAAATAACAAGTTATAGAAATAACAGGTTAAGTACAATATTAAAAATTACAATTTAGATATTCGGAATAATAACTCTTTACTTGGAAATAACAAGTTCATTTTTATAAATAATAAGCTAACTGTTGAAAAGAACAAATTCAATTTTGCAAATAGCAACTCCGTAGTTGAAAATAACAACTTCCATGGTTGGAATAACAAGTTAGTAGGAAGAGGGAAAAAAAAAAGAACATGGATAAAACGTAGATTTATGTCAATTTAAGAATAATATAGAAAACATTCACAACATCTTGATTAGAGCCGGTAATATGGGTTGGACCCGCAGGTTGAACCCGCCAACCCGCCAAAAGAGGCGGGTTAGGGTTGGCTTTTGGCCAACCCGCCACCACCTGAAAAATATGAGCCCGCACCACCATAACCCTAACCCGCGGTGGGTTGGCCCGCCAACCCGCGGGCCAACCCGCGGGTTAACCCACCTATTTTTTTTTTAAAAAAAATAGATAACAAAGACAAAAGTAAAACAAATTTTTACTTCAAACTTTATTGTCATTAGAAATAATTAGATAAATAAGGTTATTCAATATTGCTCATTGGTTTCATTGAAAAAAAATGTGTGAACTTGTGTATTATCATGTTGGAAAATTGGACAATCATATACTATTTGTATTTTATTGTGTTGTAATTTTTATTTGGATGTTTCTAATATTTTATATCATTTTTAGTATTTTTATTTTGTATTATATATAATTCCTAACATTTAAAAAAATAAGAAAATTTTTAAAAAAAACAAAAATAATAAAAATAAAAATTTTGGCGGGTTGGTGGGTTGGCCCGCCAACCCACCTTGGCGGGTTAGGGTTGGCAAAATGCCAACCCACCAGAAAACGGGCCTTTTGAGCCCGTACCGGACAACCCACAACCCGCCACGGGCCAACCCGCAACCCGCGAGTTGGCCCGTTTTACCAGCTCTAATCTCGATAAGCATTTCTTTTCCCTTAAATTGGGTGATAAAATGAAAGGCCTATTGACATCATAATCATATATCGTTATAACTTCAATGAAAGAAACTAGGTCTATAATTATATACTTATTCCACGGAGCACACAAATCTAGAAAACCTTTATAAAAACATGTATTCTTCCCAGCAATATTATGATAGGACTGCTAAGAGATTAAGATCAGAATAATACTGTTGGCGGAAGCACCTACAAAATAAATAGTTAATCCGAGTTACGTCCTAAGTACGCTGTCCTTAAGAGCTATTCCGCAACCACCGGTAGATAAGGATGCGGCACTCCTCAGGATTAAATGGATCCTTCCTGTAAAACAGGATAAGTAGAACAACAGAAGATAGTAATAAACTCAGCAGGTAAGAGAATACAAGAGGGTGAAGAGAGGAGCTCGAAAACTCTAGAACTGTGTGTTCTGAACCTTAGACTAAAGCACCCTTTTATAGGCCTCCATGATCTAAACATTGCTTGCCTCTTAAAGATAATCAAATTTCAGTTTTGAACGTTGCACATTAAATGATTTAATTGCATGATCTGAACCGTTGGAGGCAAAGAAATAAAGCATTCCGTTTTGTATTTCATAATCATTGTTTAATATATTAAAAAAAATCTAAACGCACTAGCGCTTCAAACATTTCAGGCGTTACTCTGTTTTGAAATTCATGGCCATCATTTAATACATTAAAGCATGTTTAAAGCACCTGGATTTCAAGCCATTCTAAGCCTTAGACAATTATAGAAAATTTCCGTTCAGCAATTTAAATGGTTCAATGCATTAAAAGATTTTTCCGTTTAGGATTTTAGTGGACCACTTTTAAATCCCTTAATGCATTGAAAATCCATTTATGACATTAAAATTCTTTAACAATTGATTTTCCTATTCCTAATAATAATAAGAAAATCTGTTCATGATTAATACTCAATTTGTTTTTATCTTCCCACATTTCCAATTAATGTAGGAGTTTTTCTTTGACACACCCACACAAAAAACCACAACAAATACTAGCTATCTCAAATATGGAATATAATAGGCATTATTCCTGCAGCAAATGTGGCTAACAATCTTATCTTTGGCATCGAATAATGTATATCAAGTTTCCTGGACCTCAACGATCTGTTTTGAAGGGCTTTCTTTGCATTTTGTTCAGCTCCTACACGATAATTGGAAATCATAACAAATCCATGATGCTTGCAAGCAGTATAAGTGGTTCGGACATCACGATATTGCTGTCACAACAAACAAGACATTGCATCGACTTTTTATATGATTCAAGGTCTGCTTTCTAAGAATTCTAACACAACATCTATTAGCATAAAACAATAAAGATGCACCTCAAAGAGGGTCTTTAGTTCAGAATCTTCAACATTGTTGTTAATGTTTCTAACAAAAAGCGATCTAGAAGGATGTTCACTAAAAGGAAGTTTCCCTTTGAATCCTCTGAAGCAACTAGGATATTTATCTAGACCGCTGGCCCCTTTTTCTGTAGTTAGATGTTCATCACCTTCCAGCTCCCTGCCTACACCAATACTAAACAAATCAAAATCTTCCAGGTCATCGCT